CAACTAGTTAGTTTAGTAGTTTTAGTTTTCTCCATGCTCATACAAAATCTTACCATATTAATACATCATCACGAATAACTATCAAATACTTTAATAACAACTGCAATTAGCGAGAATTAAACTACACTCGGCAACTAATAGAGGAATGTTAGAAGATATTACAAACAATGTCCAACAGTTTAAACCTAAACTTTAAACTTACAAGGACAAGTTACAAATTAAACTGTATTTATTTATTTATTTATCATTTTATGTACCTACACCACACAGACAATATTACACAGGACAACACATTATAAGCATGAGGTACATAGGTACTGCATATCCCTTAAGGGATTTCTTCCTGCAGACCTGCGACAGGAAAAGGAAATTAAACATAAGACAAGACACCGTGTAGATAGATGATACATGCAACGAATACAGAACAAAATAAAATTACTGGAAGAACAATAAAACTAGAATAACGGTAATATAATGATAAAATATAAACTTAAGCAAATTATAACAAACATAATAAATAAAATAATTAGAAATATTTAAATATGATTACATATAAATGTATATATATATATATGTATATTGTATGTATATATAGATAAATATATATATATAAATAAAGCTGTACTTCAGGACGAAAGATAATAATCCCTGACAAGTCGTTTAAAAATGGAGAAGGACTTGGAGTCGCGTATGCTAGGCGGCAGCGAATTCCACAATCTCACCGCATGAACCGTGAAGGAGTAGGAGTAGAAATCGGTTTTATGTTGAACGATTTCAAGAAGGGACTTAAGGTGGGATCTAGATAGGGCTTCAGGAGGACGAGCCAAGGAAAAACGGTCACGGAGATATATAGGATAGGCTGGGTTGTTAAGGACATTATAAAGGAGACATAAAATGCGAGTGTTCCGGCGAAGTCGGATTGGGAGCCACTTGAGCTTACTGCGATATACTGAGACATGATCGTACTTCTTAAGATCGAAGACAAAGCGAATACAGACGTTTTGCAGCCGCTCAAGCTTGTTTAGTAGCTCCTCAGTGACGTCCAAATAGCAAGCATCTGCGTAGTCGAGTAAAGGCTGAATTAAGGATTGTACGAGGAGAATTTTAGTTTTAAATGGCAAGAAGGACCGGAGACGCTTCAGCGAGTGAAAGGAGAAATGGACTCTTCGACTGACCTCACTCACCTGTGCACCCCATAGAAGATTGGAATCGAAGATTACCCCCAAATTCTTGGCAGTGTCAGTGAAAGGGATCACTGTGCCATTTAGGCGCACGGGCTCAAGAGTAGAGATGTCCAGAGCGCTGCGGAAGTATCGACTACCGATGATCATGGCCTGAGACTTAAGAGGATTGACTTGGAGACCAAAGGACTTGGCCCACTTATCAATCCCGTCCAAGTCGCGGTTTACAGCATCGATAGCGCGACCAACTTCCGATAGTTTGAAGTGACGATAAAGCTGCAGGTCGTCTGCGTAGAGGTGAAAATTAGAGGAGATTACCTTGGCAACGGTATTTATAAACATGGAGAAAAGAACAGGAGAAAGGACGCCACCCTGAGGCACGCCAGCAACGAGGTCACACCAGTCGGAAAAAACTTCCTCCAAGCGTACACGCTGTCGACGACCCCGAAGATATGATTCAAACCAGTTCAAAGAAGAGGAAGAGAAGTTGTTGGCCTTCAGAACACCCAAGAGGATATCAAAATCCACGGAGTTGAAGGCCGAACTGAAGTCCAGTAACACAAGAATAGTTAGTGACTTGTTGTCCATGGCCCAACGAATGTCGTCAGTCACTTTGAGCAGAGCCGTAACGGTACTGTGACCAGGGCGGAAACCAGACTGATAAGGAGAAATTAGATTATTAGAAGATAAGTAGGAAGTAAGCTGCTTATGAACAAGATGTTCCATAACTTTGGAGAGGAAAGGAAGAATAGAAATAGGCCTGTATTGGGAAGGTGAGCAAGGGTTGGAAGATTTAGGTAAAGGAATAATATGGGCCATCTTCCAGGCAGAGGGGAAGGAACAAGAGAATAAGGAGAAATTAAAAATGTGAGTAAGGATAGGGATAATGAGATTAAGAATGGGGAGAAACATGCGGGAGCATAGATTGTCATTGCCCACTGCAGATGACTTAACGGCGAGCATTGACCTTTTGACATCTTCTTCGGAAACACTGCGTAATTCAAAAGGAGAAGAAGGGAGAAATGGTAAACAGGAAAGATCGTAGAGAGTCTTAGATTTTGTGGAAATATCGAGAGTAACCGGAGGAAGCGAGAAGTGTAAGTTTAGAGAAGTGAGGTCCAAGCCACTACATGCGGCAGCAGGTGACTTTCCGATGCCCACAGAACGCAGAAACTTCCATGCATCACTAGAAGAACGATTGACCAGGTTTTCATCGAAATAGCACCTTCTAGCATCCCTACACAGACGATTGCATCGATTACGAAAAGCCCTGAATAGTGTGAGGTTTTCATCGCAGGGTCTTCTCTTATATTTTTGTTTGGCCCTATCACGTCGAGCCATAGCTTCCTCAATATCAGGCGTGATCCAGGGAGCCGGTTCATGCTTCACCCTCACCCGTCTCACCGGTGCAAATTTGTCAAAAATATCAATGATAATTTTATTAAGAGAGTTGACCTTGACATCAATGCACTCGGCGTCAGTTATAGGACTCCAATCAATGACACTAACATCACGCTGTAACGCCTCCAAATCCATCTGCTTATAACTACGCAGATTCAGATAAAGGGGTCTGCGTTTAGGTGTACGAATGCGGTAAGATAGGAAAATTAGGTCGTGATAGGAGAACGAAGCAGTTAATTGACCATAATCATCTACGTGGCTGGGCGACGAGACAATCATAAGATCAAGCAGAGAGGGCGAAGAGTTAGGGGAATTATGAGTAGCGGAGAGAGGAAGTAAGTGTAGGTTGAAAGATGACACAAGCGATTTAAATTTGAGTGCACGGGAATCATTCTTCAGTAAGCATGTGTTGAAGTCACCCATAATTATAATGTGATTATAATCAGGGCATAATTTGTCAAGTTCAGTATCGAGGCTGTCAAAGTAATTTATGTGCAGGTTCGGGGAATAAACAACTGCAACCAGAATTTTATTTAATTTAATGGAAATCTCAACAAACATGTACTCTACTGATTCGGAGTAAGGAGATGGGGATGCGCTAATAACCCGATAAGGTAAATCTGACCGAAGATACATGGCAACCCCTCCCCCACCCCTCCCAGTTCTATCGTTACGCACTAAAACAAATCCCGGTAAGGCATAGTGAGTAGATAAGAGAGAAGGTTTAAGGAAAGATTCAGAGATAAGAAGGACATCGAGGTGTGCATTGCTAAAGGTAGCCAGAAGATCAGTATAGTGGCCAGGAACACTCTGAGCATTAATATGAGCGATATTTAAGTTTGTAGGGTAGGACGAAAAAATATTGGTTAAGTTATCATGCAAAGTAAGTGGTTGGGAACTATCGCTATCGGCACTAACAAAGCTTGACGAAGGAGAGCGTGTAAAGAAACTGTCATCGAGACTCATTAACCCATCCATGCAAGTACAGTAATAAATAAATAAAATAATTATAGTAAAAAAATAATATAAGTACAAAAACAAAAAAAATATATAAATAATGTGCAAGCGCCTATTCGGTTGCTATGTAGTTGCATCAACAACCTCCTCCACTTGCCCAACACGTTACTACGTGTATGAAAATGTGAAATAACAATACGTAATTATCAGCGGTTTATACAGCAGGAATAAAGAGCAACATAACAATGAGCGCAAGCAACAACAAAACGTAACAAACTGACAATCATAATGAGTGAAGCTACTGAGTATGACATAAACGCTTGACAATGACAGGAACAATGAATGACATGACATAAGTGACAGGTGACACCCGGCATAACAAAATCAACACAATTATTAAAGTGATTAATTTCGAGCTACCGACTAAAAGGAAACACAAGTATAATTACGTTGAATGTGGAGATGGTACCGACACCGAGTATGAATCACCACCAGACGATAAAATGCGGATGAAATGTCATAATAAATATTGGATTTATTTACCGCGGGCACACACACCTATTTGCGGCGAGCATTACGAGTCCTCCGCAGGGTCTTGGGCAGCGAGTCACTAGACGGTTCCGCAGCCACCATGAGGTCCTCACCATCGGATGGGCAACGAGGGAATTTGGCCATTAGCTTCTCGAGTTGTGACATATGTTCCAGCTTGTGTCGTGACTTGTCTGGCGCAATTACCACTATTTTGCCTTCCACCGACCAGCAATTGGTTATGCCAAAGTATTTACGAGCGGCAATGAAGGTACGGTGACGCATTTGCGTTAAAAACTCCGAAATAGTGATGCCGGTGCCCTTTAAGGACTTTTTGTTGTCCCACACGAGGTGCCGGTCCTCCGTAGTGAAAAAGCGCACAAGTATCGGCCTCGGGCTACGGTTAGCATATCCCAGTCTATGGCACACGTGAATATTTGCTTTGCCTACCTCGGACAACTTCATACGGTCGTGCAGGACTGCAGTGATGACCTCGGGTAACTTCTCCTGCCTCTCCTCAGGTACACCGTGGACTAGCAATACCTTCCTCCGCATTGCAGTTTCATGTCTGTCGTGGCCCTGTGATAGCAGTTCGATCTGCGTCCCAAAACAATTAAGTGCGTCTAACACAAACTGCTTGAACTCGCAGTATTCGGCACGCAACCCAGCGATGTCAGCGGGAGGCACATCTGCAGCAGTGGCCCGGTCTAGCTTCACTTCATGGGCAGTCATTCTTGATAGGAGCAGTGCCTTCATCTCCTCAAGGCTCGCTGTCAGTTTAGATTCCACATCCATACTGTTGAGATTTGCTTGAAATCACAAAATCTTAAAATATTTATTGGAGAGGCTTAATGGTAATTGTAGGCAAGTAGAGGGGGTCCAGGACACAGTTGATGTATTAATACATTAAATTAGTGCAGTAATTACAATTAATATTAATTAAAATCGACAAAGTGAACACAAGCAACTGTTTACACCGTGTGTAGTTAGAATACAGGTGCTAGTTTCTTGATTGCGTACAAACTTAACTTGTGGTGAAGGTCGGGAGGTTGACTTGTTAAATTATTTGGAAATCTGGCAGGTGCAGATGTGTTTTAGTTAATGTAGTCTAATTTCTATCTATTAGAACTTTGATGTGGCGAAAATTAATTGGTATAGGATTATAATAATTAAATTAAATTAAAATTTATTTATTGGCATACACTAGTTTGATTACATGGCAGCGAATAGCATTCAGATAAACACAAATACGGCAGAGGTGCCCGTGGGCCCTAAACTAGGCACAGCCTGTATCTTGGTGACCCAGTGGTAAAGGTTTAGACTAGTTAGTTCTCGCATCATGGTTCTGACACCGTGCAAACATATAACACGAAATTTAACTTAACTTAAACTGAACAATAATACGAAAATGATAAACTAACAATAAACAAATTTTGAGTAACAAATACAAATGATTAAATAATCAGGCAAATGCAGGTGGTAGGTATAATAAAGCATGCAAATATAATGAATAACGTATTTCATTATGAAACTTAATCATTGTAGGGCAAACTTATACGAGGTAATAACGCATTCCCTTACTGTTATTGGAAAATAACAACAGATACCATGATTTGCTTAAAATACAATGTAAAAATGATTTCTTTTTCATTTTTGCATGTATCATGCCATTTTTCTACATGCTTTGTACTGCGAGGATAGAGTAAAATGGACTTAAAGACGGACAAAGAAACTTCCTACATAGATGTTTCGAAGTCAACTAAAGGCATGTAAAGTTACTAAAGTCAAGGATACGCTAGGAGACAATTGTCTTACGACACGTGTCGCTAGCGACGATGGGTGGAGTAGCGCGACATTGCCAGACTTTGTTCGACATGTCTGGCAACATTAACGTTGCTGTGAACATGCTCGCGTTGCCACCTTATAATATGTCGCTGATACTTGTTGTGAGACATTTGTCCCCTGTATCCACAGAACATATAAAGAAGTTGGTTTAACTCACTAATTACCTACTTTGCATAATAGAGTTTACTGCTAAAGCTGCGCTGGCTGGGCTGGTATTGATAGGTGAGCTGCTGATGAGGATGATGAACCAATTCATAAATAGAATACTTAAAACGTGTTAGGTACAAGTAACTCCAAAGAATAGTAATAAATCACAATCTACCAAAAATGGCGATTCGTTTACGCTAAAATGAGTCTTAAGTTTAGTGGTATAAATCAGTGCTTCCTCTATTACAAGCTGGCAATTACTAGCTAGTATTGTTAACTTGAGCAAATAATTGGGAAAAGGAATTGAACTTGGCTCGCTGTCAAAACGTAATTTCAGACCAATTAATTGGTCGAAGTGAACGGTTTTAAAATAACAAGTCATTAACAGGTTCGGTGAGTTACGTATTTTGTTTTTAAAAGAAATACCCTATTTTAGATGGTTTTAACGATTCTTTTTTGTTAATTCTGCTGTACTTTTACGACTTTTCAAAGGAAGATATCTGGATACAAGGCCTTTTTTAAAGTTGAATACTAAAATAAAACAGGACTTAAGATCAAATAAAATTAATGAGGTCACAAGGCTAACTCGTATTGACGAAGTTACCTAAAGCGTTTCAAGTTACGCCAGGAGTCATGCAATAGGTTTTATATATATGAAAATCAATGCAATGCATAAACTAAGTTTACTTATAAACTAGATTTCGACTGCATCGTTGGCCGAGTGGTTGCAAGTCGACAGCCGGGCAAGGAGTTTCGGGTCGGGCAAAGTATTACTGGAATTTTATAAAATGTTCAATAGTAGCACGGAGTCTGGAATTGTGTCCGGTATATAGCAATAAGTTCACCCCCTATTACACGGGACTCATAACATAAATAGTAAAAAGTGAGTGTTACATTGTACAGTGGCATAATGTGCACCTCTTACCACTCTACCCCTTCAGGGATAAAAGGCGTAGTATTATGTTATGTAGATTTTTACCTTTCGATTGTAAATTTTATATCTTTGCATTATATTATTGTGTTACTCTTGACTTTCTACTCTATACAAAAACAAACACAAAAAATCATCTTCAAACGTACCACCTAATTCAAATCCTTTTTGTCCCCAGGTCTTATAAACCGCACCAACATAATGCCGACTCCAGACCTCTGCGTGATAAACAACCGCTTGTTCTGGATCTTCGGGTCACTGGTCGCTTTCTACATTCCTATGCTCACTATGGTCGTCTCTTTTGCACTGACTGTACAACTGCTGAAGAGACAGGCTAGACTTGCTGCCACGCCTGTACCTGGAGGAACTCAGAGAAGGTAAGATTATTACTAGATCTAGATCTAGACCTTAGAACATTGGTGATATCAAGATCGTAATGCTTTACCCGTAATACATCCATTATTCTGTCCTCTCTAACAAAATATATAAAACTAGCTGTTGCCTGCGTCTTAGCCCGCGTAGAATAGGAATTTTAGGATATAACCTTTCTTATTTCAATTTTCAAAAACCAAAGTAGCCTTAATCAATTTTGCTTTTTAGTACATTTTAGCTAACTGTCAAAGTCAAAGTCAAAACATTTATTGTAATTAAACCATAATTTGATACTTTTGAAACTGCCAATAAAAGGCCCGTCAAAATCGGTCAACCCATTCTAGAGATTGGCCAGTACAGACAGTCAGATAGAGAGAGATAAACAGACAAAAATAGCTAAAAACGTTATTTTTGTATGTGTATGGTATATTGGTGGAGTAGATTATAGGGTTTCTTTCTCGTTGTTGTCCATAGGAATCTACACCTTGGAATGAGCAACTAGGTTCACTTCTACCTCTAGAGTTTTGTTGTTGACGTTCAAAAGGGCCTTCCTGGTCTAAATGAAATAAATGATTTTGACTTTGACTTTGACATTGACATTGACTTTGACATTGACATTGACTTTGACTTTGGTAATATATCGTATGTATATTCATATGCGTTAAGTAAAAAGCGGTTATTTTATTATTACAACCAGACATTTTAATTTTATTTATCTGTACAGATGTAACTCAAAAATGATTTGATGTCGACTGCTTGGCAAGATATTAAGAGTTTCATAACTCACATTTCGCAGGTTACCCCGGAAAGTTGCCGCCATGCTTCCCTTGAACAAAGTTTCTTGGCAGACTTTTTTGGCTTAAGTAATTTCTAAGTCATTCCAGCTAAGTCGTTTTGTTAGAAGAATGAAAATAACTTTATCTCCTTTATTATGGTCGTAATTTCAGTTTAATTCTTCTGTGAAAGTTAAATTATTTCTTTTTATAACTGTTCTAAACTAAAATAATTTATTTTGTAAATAAAATAATGCATTTTTATGTTTATTTTTCTTTATTAGGCGAGAAAATAAGTAGTTTTTGATACGTGTTTTAAACTTTACCGCTACAGGTTTGGTGGTAGATTTTGAAAATCCGTGTTTCATATGAAATGCAAGCAAAATAGGCCTAATTTCGTGGAACTTATAACATAACTAGTGACAAGTGCATGTTACGCTGTAAATAAAAGAAAGAAAGAAAAAGTCTGCTGTGAAATGGGACCAGTTCAGCATGTGCAAAACAAGGCCTTATATTCTACTGGCCCATTAAGTAACTTGCGGTCGACAAAGCCACCAATCGGACAACAATTAGCAACCAGCAATTTACATGAATTAGTAAACCACATAATACAATTAAATAAATAAATCAACAGTAAAAAATCAAAAACGGGTAGTTACATACATTAAAAAAGTAACTTTAAATAGTAAACATAGAACCACTAGAACATAGAACATAGAACACCAATAAAACAACAAGATGAATCAGAGCAGGTACATACATTTGGCTTCTCCTTCATTTGAACGGTAACACGACAAGCTATTAAACGTAGATAACTTAAGTGTGGGAGAGCCATGGTTCGGCACGAATGGGCCGGCTCAACCGGAGTGATACCATAGCCTCACAGTAAACCGACGTGAAACAACGCTTGTGCGTACCCGGCCCCCCCTCTTCACCAATGTCCCAATCCCTAAATCCTCTATAATCTTCAAAAATACCCAAAAAGCCGGTAACGCATTTGTACCGCCACTGGTGTTGCAGGTGTCCATAGGCGATATCGTTGGCTTACTATCAGGGGACCTGTCTGCTCGTTTACCGGCTTATGCCATAAAAGATTAATTACCATCTTCAAACCAACTTCACTAAAATCCATATAAGTAATAAAATACACACATGCAATAAAGTACCTCACCGATTTTTCCCATCTCATTACGTATTCGCTGCCCTCAATCCTACGGCGACGCGACATGCAAAAACCGCATGTCATTTGGACCGTGTCTTGTGCAGATGGGTGCAGTGAGCTGTGCAGCCTGCACAACTGACGATATTAAGGCCAAACATCTAGGCACTATGTAAACGTGCACGAAAATAGTTTTGCGGAAATTCGGTCCGTATTTTTTGTGGGTGGAAAATTGTTGAAATGTTTCGGGCATTTCCTAATTATGTATAGCGTGTTATTATTGTTGGTTGAAACAGTTTAGTTAATTGGTTTTTGTTTTTGAAATGTTTTAAATGTTTGTATTTTAATGTTTTATGTGTTTGGAATGAGAGAATTAGTGTAGCCAAAATGCTTTATCAAATTAAATTCTTATAGTTCGTGTAGAAGATTTAAAGATACTATTTAGAAAGAAAGAAAGAAGATAGGAAGACAAATCATTATTTGGCTATTGGCGCACAAAACAAAGATTATAAACAATAAAAATACAGATACTTACACAAATACAAAATATTAATAATAAACTTAAAAGAGTAAAGAAAAAAAACATCCACCTCAGCATATAGTTGAGCGTTCCTGCCCAACGCTGGTGGCACCCTGCAGTGACTCACCCTGCATTTAAATTACGGTGTCGTGTTCATAGGTGTATTACAACTAAATATGGTCACTTACAATTGAATATAGGCACTATTAACCGTAATACAATTTAAGAAACATCTGATTACAAATCAGAATCAAAAATAAAAATGTATGTTACCAATTTATTAATGCATATTTTTAACCAAGTCCATATTATAATCACACAATAATTCGCACGTGACACAGCGTTAGTCTATCAGATTTACTGGACAGGATTTGTCCGAGGTTAGACAAGATTGTGATATAAAAATTTAATTTATTTTCGAAGCCTAAGCCACAGATTGAGCCCAAAATCTCCTTTTTATTAGATACAACACTATCATCTCAACAAACGTACAAAATCCACTAATAAACTTAGTTTTAAATTTATATTCTTGTAAGTTTTATTCGCAAAATCTGCAAACTGAAGTGGCAATGGGGAGGCCACGTCGCTCGAAGGACTGACGGCAGATGGGCCAGGAAAGTCCTTGAGTAGAGACCACGGACCAGAAAACGAAGCGTGGGTAGGGCTCCCGCTAGGTGGACGACGACATCGCCAGAGTTGCGGGGAGCCAGTGGATGCAGGTGGCGAGATGTCGTTCAACGTCAATGATTAGGGGGGAGGCTTTTGTTCAGCAGTGGACGTCTTCTGGCTGTTAATGATGATGATGATGATGATGATGATCAAGTTTTATTCTTGACAGTTAAACTTGAATTTTTAAACTAAAACATCATACATTTTATTCTCTGACCCTCTGGACAAATGACATTTAAACAATGGTCGAAAGTAAAAGTCGTAGAGGAATCAATGTAGTATGGCCCTGACATAAACATCGTACATTGACTTTTCTATTTCCTCATTCAACTGAAATTTCAGTACCATTTTGTCTAGAACAGCTGAAGGGACATATTTTAAAAGCATATAACTCAAATTAGCATAACATAAAACGAAAACTAAAACAAAACGTAACATCACGCCTTTTACCCCCGAAGGGGTAGGCACATATTACGGTACTTAATGCTACTTTCCACTACCTATGTGATGAGTCCCATGTAATAAGTGGTGAGCCTATTGCCGTACACCGGGCACAATTCCAGATTCCGAGCTACCATTGAGATTTCTTTTAAAAACCCAGTAGTACTTTGCCCGACCCGAGAACCCCTGCCTGGCAGTCGCACTTGCGACCACTCGACCAACGAGATAAACAATAAAAAAATCAACGTAAATTCCAAAAAACGAATATTACGAAAGTAACAAAGCAGACACATCAAAATAAACTCTTTTTCTGGTTAAGGAAAATGAAGGAGCGTCTAAGAACCGAATCATGAGGGTTAATCTGCTTCGGTCATTTGAGGGAATGATCGCTATTTTTGCTACATTTGAGATTATAGGGGATCTTTTTACCGTAAAAGCCCCTTGGTCATCATTTGTCTTGCTGACAAACACGTTTCGGAATGTGATTTGTCTGTCATTCATTCCTGCATTTCGTGTTGTTGGAAGAAAAATTATAGTCCTCTGTGGATGATGTGGATTGTGGATTGAGTTACGGTTTAGCTAGCGGATTGGATTATGATTTCGTGAGCTTTAACACATTATTTTGTGATTTTAATTTTGACATAATCTTATGCATTATTCGCAAGTTATTTATTTATTTTCAAGGATTATTACTACACTGATGCTCATGACACATTTACGTGTATCCGCTTCACAACTGCATGTTTGTAAAGCCTCTTAAATACTACCATTTCCAATTACCAGTAGGTACCATAGTTTTTTTGTTTACTGACGTTGTCTGACAAGGATTTTCTCCTGTGTCGTAGATGCGTTTACAAACATACTACAGGTTCACATACATACGTTGTAAAAGTAATAATTATTGTGTTCTTAATTTCTGCACTTCTGATTTTCCGAGAATCAGTTAACCCAAGCTTTATTGTATCTCATATACGTATATGAGACACAATAAAGCTTAATGCCAGTTTTCTTCAACCTCCCTTAAATTTCAGGAAAAGTAGCTAATGTAGAGGTAAATGACAATTTTATTTTTGCTTTTCACCAACCTATAATTAACACTCAGAAGTAAACGTAAAGGGTTATAGTTTAGGAACTTCCTTGTGCTAAGCAATTCGTAGTTGATAAAAGGGCGATAAGACTGTTAAAAGAATTAATACACTCGATTAAACCGTACCAATTTGACCTTGTACAACTAGTTTTAATGCATAAAAGCGATTATCTACACAAAGAAGGTTCAATACATTTACTTTGATCTTCCGTTTGAAAAGTCTTGCTTTTAAAGAATTCTTTGATTATCAAAGTTGAACTTCGGATAAAGAAGTTTGGAGTACTTCGCGCCTTTCTCTTTGTAGAGTTTAGTTTACGTTTTAATGTTTTTAATTAAGCTACATGGAATGTTTTTAC